AGTCCTGCCTTGTCTCCTCATGGTCCAGGAGCCATGAGCAGGGCTGGAGCAGGGAGTTGGTGGCTGCCCAGGATTGCAATCCTGTGGCACTGGGCATATGGCACATGGTGGGCTGGTGTTGCTGGGATTCTGATAAAAGAAGCAAATGGTGTTGGCTTGCTTGGATGTGGCCTGCAAGAAAGGGCAGCATCAGAGGGATGCAGGGGATGGGGTTCCCAGTACTTTCTGCCTCTTTCCCATCTTGTGGTGGAAGCATCAAGCCCCAGCATTGGGGAAGAGATGGAAAGGCACTGGATCATGGATGCCTTGGCTTCCTTTAGCCTTTCCTACAGCAATAATGACCTCTTTCCAGCATGAATCCATGTTCTTCTGCTTATATGGGCCTTACAGAGCTGATCTGGTCCAAAGGGACATAGACCTTAGAACCTAGGGATGTAGCAGTCACTTGAGAGGACGCCTGAGCCTGCAGAAAGGGCAGCGTGAAAATCCACTGGTGGGAAACCAGACATCACCTTCCAGCCCTCCCCTGTGCCAGAAAGCGTTTTGCAAAGCAGAAACAAAAAGAAACAAGCAGAGACATGGGGAATATCAGCCTGACATCCAACCCATCCTCCTGTCTGCCAGGCTGTGGAAAGGAGCAGCGGAACGGAGCCCCAGAGGGGGACTCTGAATACCTGCCCCTATCCCCTCACTCCCCCTGTGCTGCAGTGTGTCCTCTCCCAATGGCCTGGTTGAAGCCGTGTCTGCTCTGGGACAGAGACTGAGCTGCACTTTGGTGTTTTCTCAGAGCAAACAGAAGGACGTTAAGAGTCCATCTTAACTCTGTACACTCTGTACAGTGTTAGTAACCTTCCAGCTGTTTGCTGGAGGCAGATGTGGACAGTTGCACCCAGCTGTTCCAGCCTCGGTTGTCTTCCTTTGAGTCCAAGTTGTGGCATTGCAGACTGTCTCCTCTTCCCTTTGCCCATGTATTCATAGCTGGGGAAGGTTCACAGATGAGTCCTGCCATGTATGGCTGTCTCCTGGGGTTGTGGAGTGGGACAGACACTCCACAGCTAATGCAGGACATGCTGCCTAGGCTGTATAAAGTCAGTTGTGTGTCTTCAGTATGAGGCATCACCATGGGCAGTTGGGAATGGAGCCATGGCCCATCACAACTCAACATCCCAGGTCCTCAGGAACTTCTGGGAAGTCTCAGCCACCCATAACCTGGGTGTGCTTCAAGTGACTGTCACCACAAACATAAATCAAGTATCCAGTGACTTCTTGGGTAATTTTTCATGGGTTGTTATACACTCAGCTTGCCTGCAGACTTCAAGTGCTCATGACAGCCTCCATCCATGTGTGTGCAGTGCAGCATGGATCCAACAGGAGACACACAAATCGCAGAGGGGTCATAGCATCACAGAATGTGTTGGGTTGGAAGGGACCTTTAAAGCTGACCCAGTCCAACCCTGCAGTGGGCAGGGACATTGGTACCAGATCAGGTTGCTCACAGCCCCATCAAGCCTGGCCTTGAATATCTCCAGGGATGGGGCCTGCACCACCTCTGGGCAACCTGTGCAGTGATCGACCACCGCATGGGGAAGAGCTTTTTCCTAATATCCAACCTAAATCTCCCCTTTTCTAGTTTAAAACCATTACCCCTCATCCTATTGCTCCATGTCCCAGTGAACAGCTCTTCCCCAGATTTCTTATAGGCACCTTTCAGGTCCTGGAAGGTCACTATAAGGTTCCCCCAGAGCCTTCTCTTCTCCAGGCTGAACAATCCCAACTCTCTCAGCTGTCTCCATAGGAGAGCTGCTCCAGCCCTTGGATCATCTTTGTGGCCTCCTCTGGACCTGCTCCAGCACTTCAATGTCCTTTTTGTGCTGGGGACTCCAAAGCTGGATACAGCACTCCAGGTCAGGTCTGACCAGAGCAGAACAGAGGGGCAGAATCCCCTCCCTGGCCCTGCTGGCCACACTTCTTGTGATGCAGCCCAGGATGTGGTTGGTTTCTGGGCTGCAGATGTGCATTGGTGGCTCATGTCCAGCTTCTCATCATCAGGAGACTGAGAGAGGCCTGGATCTCTCCTGGCTCTGCTCACATCAGTACACTGGAAACTGGGAGCTGATGGTCTTCCTGCTCAGCAATCGTCTGTGCATGCAGCCTCTTGGGGCTTTCCTGATGCCTCTTCTCCAGTGGGAACCCAGGCCAAGGAAAATCATGCCTAAGGGCTTAACTGCTGGCTCCTCAGCCTCCTACAACCCTTCTTCCAAACCATAAATGTCCCAGTTAGACTTCACAGAGGATAAAACAGAGTAGGCATAATGCAGTAGTTTATACCTAATAACAGCAATGGGGTTTTTTTTGTTATTGATAATATAAGTTGGTTAAAGTTAGGAGTGATGGATGGGCCATCACACTTACTAAATTTTGCCAACATTTCTTACTCAGGCCCGACTCCTAACCACATTTACCTTCCTGTTTTCTGGTTGCATAGAGCTGTGCCAAGCTTTAGCTATTGGACTGGAATTTAGCTTGGGTGGTGTCTGGTTCCTACTTAAGTTTTTGGATGGATGGCAGGGAGGTGGGGAATTGCAGCCCAAACTCTTTGGCTGGTTTTGAAAAATTGGACTCCAAAAAGCCATATGATTCATCTCATATTAAGAAAAAGGCCAGCAAAGCTTTGCTGGAAAGGTTCCTCCAAAGATTTCAGCTTTGGCTCTACATTGCATGTCTGTATTGCGCCTTTACTATGGGAAAGTCAAAATTCGGCTCATGTTAGGTTTTCAGTATTACTCAAGATTACAGCGTGGTCATGCTCAGGAGAGTCGTAGTAGTTTTGCAGGTGAATTCCTTGAAGATGCTGCTTTGGCTTGGCCCTGCTGTCAGGGCACAGGAAAACCAAATACATGGGAGAAGTAGTACATTGGGAAGCAGGTGGCACGTCTAGGATCTCAGGCTGTTGTCTGCAGAAGACACCATCCATGGTGCCCAGACATGCTCCTCCAGCCTGGGGTCACCTCATGGAGAGGCATCACTGTCCCTTTGCCATTCTGCATTGTACAGCATCCTCTGCAAGGGAAATGTTGCTCCATCAATGATTTTGATAGCTCAGATCTGCTTGCAGTTAGCTCAAAGACCTCCAACATGGCTCTTGGTTTGTTGGTGGGGCTGGGGAAGGACTGGTGGGAGAGATCCCTCTGTAACACAGGTGTCTTTCTCTATGGATCTGGTGGATGAAATGGGACATTAAGTGGGCTTATTGTCAAGTTTCTCCTCAAACCTGCAACCACTTGCAGTGCTCTGCAAAGAACAGGCCATGGGGCAGGTCTGGGAAACAGCCCAATACAGAGCAGCACTGAGGTGGCAGGAGATTATGGGGGTCCTATTCTCTGGCCTGGGTCTCACTTTTTCGGGTCTTTGTTACAGACAGGGATCGTGCATCTGCGGGAAGTGCCTGGCTGTGCCTAGTGCCATAGGTGCGGGGATGCTGCGCACCCTGTGACAGCGGGGGATGCACACGGATGCACGTGGAGAAGAGGTAAAAATGCCAGCGTTGCCTCGAGGAGGGACCTGCCCCATCTTATATGGCTGTGGCATGTGCAGGTCTCAAGGAGCATTTCTCCCCAAACCAATCTCATACAGGGCTCTGAATCCCCCAGCCCATCACGTCTCCCAGCTGTGAGGAGCAGGACAAGGGTATCCCCTTGAGATCTGTCCTGCTCAGCCACCTACTCAACACATACCCATGTGGACCTGCCCGAACCCAGGACACAAAGGGGTGTTTGGAGTCAAATCCCACCTCTCCCTTGCTTCTTGCCCAGATGCAGAGCAACCAGCAGCAGGGAAAAAGCTGCTGACATCACAGGGTGAGGGGTTATAAGAGCAGAGGCAGCTGCAGCTTAGCACCTCTTATTATCAAGAGCTAGTAGAGCCCAAGCAATTAGTGATTTTAACTGCTAATGAGCGCTGCAGCTCAGCAAGTCAGAGCACCCAGAGCCCATTGCTGATGTCTGGGCTTCCCCATGGCTTCTCAGAGGTGAGGGATGATCCCTGGTTTATAGAGAGGGAAACTGAGGCAGGGAGTTTAAATGGTCTGCTTGAGACGCGAGTTAGGATCAGAATTAGGGGGAGCACCCAGGGGTCCCATCTGCCTGCTGTAGTTGGTTAGCTGTGGAGATAGACATTGTTTTAAACCAAAATCAGCTGTTACCATGGCGCAGCCTGAGCACCATACAGGAACTCCTGCTTCCAGAAGAGACCATTTCTGGTGGCACTGGATTGCAGCTGCAGGGCTTGCAATGGTTTGCACCATGGTGCTACAGCCCATGGCTAAGGCTGGTACTCCCAAAACTTGCAAATATTGTATCAATGGGCACGTTCACCAATAAAGTGGCTTTTTATCAAAAAGCTACTTGTGCCATTTGGTGCAATACAGTGTCCTTGCCCTACAAAGAGAGCATCCCAGGGGTGTATTCAATGAGGACACTTGTGCCAGAGCCTTAACTGGCAACTTGTAACATCCTTCAGTAGTATTGGTGTGTCAGGAAACGAAATGTTACTCTGCAGGCAAGGAGCTCTGCAGAAATGCAAGGTCAGCAGGGAGAATCGCACAGGTTGGCACATCACAGCTGCTTAGAATTGTTAAAAAATATAAAAAAACCACACCTGTCTGCTATTTCTCCTGGTTTTGGTGGGTGGGGAATACTTGGGAATAGCACCCCGGTAGCCAGCCTAGGAAAAACAGCTGTGCCACATTTCTGTTTCTACAAAAGCAGCAAACCCCATTGTGGTCCTTCTTTGCGTTTGCTCTGATGGGATGAAAGGGATGGGGGGTATTTTGACGAGCACCACTTCAAACTGCACCCTTCTCAGCTGCTCTTGACCAACCCGTACCTTTCTGACAGCCCCCCTGGGTGCTCATGATGTAGTTTCTGTCCTGTTGCAGGTAGTACCGAGCCTGAGCTGAGCGCGGGAAGGGAGCCCGTACGCGCTGGGACAAGCAGCGGAATATGAGCGAGAACAGCCCCTTCCCATGCTCCGACGCAGATGACTGCGAGCCGCATTCCTCGGGCGCGCAGCCGGCCGCGCTGGCCCGCAGCGATGAGGAAGAGCAGCCCAGCCAGCCTCCGCAGCCTGCCAGCGGGAGAGCCAGCCCCTGGGATGATGCTCAGCCCTCCCAGGGAGCGGAGGGGGAGTGTGGACGCCAGGGGGACGAACATCTGGAAACGGCGGCGGAGGCGAGCGAGAGGCAGGGGGGGGAGGGGGCGGGGGGGGGCGGCCCCCGCGCC